GGATTTGATTACCTTATACAGAGTTGTATTAGTTTAAGCAAATGTTTAAAGATATGGAGTGTCCTCGTGCTTAGCAGTTAACTTTTTATTTAGGAAAATAATTAAATATATAAACTTTAAACAAGCTTCCAATCAATTATTTTAATCAAAGTTTCCTGGGTTCTTAGTTAAGCCATGATTAAAATCAGTGATTTAAATCACAGTGTTTGAAATCAATCCACAATTATGTCTGCAGTGTTTTGATTCAATGATAAATAAATTGAAGAGGAACAGAGTAACTCCTTGTCAAATCCCATATATCCTCAGCTGAATCCCCAGTTTCTTAACCAGGAATTTTTAACAAGGGGAAATGGCTTTAAACTGGAAGAGGTTAGATTTAGACTAGATATAAGGAAGAAACACTGTACTGTGAGGGTGGAGAAACACTGAGCAGGTTGCCCAACAAAGTTGTGGATGCCTCCTCCCTGGAGGCATTGAAGGCCAGGCTGGATGGGGCTGTGAGCAGCCTGGTCTAGAGGGAGGTGTCCCTGCCTATAGCAGGGGGTTGGCACTAGATGATCTTAAAAGGTCCCTTCCAACTCAAACCATTCTATAATTCTGTGTCCTATAGCACATACACAATATACTTGTCCCTCCAGAATCAAAATTTTATACAAGATTTTAAACTCCATTTGAAACCCAGTTAAAGCACATTCAAACCCAACATTATTGACCCTTCTCTAAGTGCCCCAGTGCACCCACTGAAGCATATGGCTGCTACAAACGTGCATCCTTGAGGCAAAACTGGGCTCAGAGTCTTTCACTTAGGGCCATCTATTCAGACAATACCTATACATATTATGCAGCTTTAACACAGTGTGAAGTTGTAGATGTTTCCAAAGAATGAGCTCAAAATCATGTGTTAGATGTTGCTTAATATCTTTTAACGCCAAAAATCATTGCAGATAGCTTGACTGCAAGTAGCCAAGTCTTCCCTTTCAGTTTGCGTGTCTTCCCTACAGACCCGAAGGACAAATATGTCCAGGGTATAAAAGGACATTAAGAGTCTTGAAGAGAAGGGCACAATGCAAATTTGCTTCTTCTCCATTCTGATGCACTGCTGTTTCTAAAACAGGCTCTTTTCTCCACTTTTAGGGCAGTGAGGCAAAAGATGATTTCCAGTCAGATGATTCCTGACTGCCTTCTTCAACAGATAAAGCATGCCAGCTCTGTTCTACTTCAGCTTTACCACAAGGCTTGCTGGAAGTTTCAGCTATTTATTGGGAGATTTACTGTATCTTGTTTGAAGAGATAAGGCTACTGAATAATTAACACCGATATCTTTTTCCCACAAGTTCATTAAGCGTTAAGCTTATTATTTATATCACAATAGAGCTAAGATCCCCAGTTGTGAGTCAGGATCTCTGTTAGACTCTGTATAGATAGGCATGAAAGCATTTGGCCCAGAGAATTTACGTTCTTTGAATCAGAACATAATGTGCAAAACAGACAGGGACAAATATACAGAACAGCATTGTGAAAGCTCCACGTGAAAGCCGTCCAGTTGGGGAACAGCTGCACCAAATATTATTCATGCACATGCAAGACTGGCCATTTTGGAAACTCTGGTCCATGTTGTGTCTGTACTGTAATGCTCTTAACTCACAGCAGAGACTAGAAAAGAAAGAACCGAGCTATCTTCCCTGTGCCTCTGTCCAGATGGTATCACTGCACATCTCAGCAAGTGTAGCGCACAAGCATCTATTTCACTAAGAAAAGGATGCTGTGATTTTAAAAGATGATGCATTTTTCATATGAAAACTTGCTGGGTGATTGTACTGCTTCAGTCTTTTTTTGGACAGCGAGTTTTTCCTATCCACCTGGAAATCCTCCTTGAAATGCACATTTCTAATTGCATTACTAAAATGATCTGGCCTTACCAGCAACCAGACAAGGAGCCAACACAGAAACGGCTCAATCCGAGGCAGGAAATAATGTAATATTCTCATTAGTGATGTGCTTTTATTGTGGAAATTCTGAAGTGAAATGCCTAAGGGAAAAATCTGTGTTCAAGGAAAAGGGCAATCTCCTAAACTGTGCTTAAAGACACATTGCCTCCTCTGAATTTCAGAACTGATCCCAGCCGACTGCCAGCTCAGGTTGCGACAGCACAGGCTGCTGGCACCACCCACCCTGAGCACAAGGACAGCTCTGCTCTGAGCTGGACACTGCACTACACCTCTTGTGCATTCAAGGTGAAACTCAAGCCAGCATTGCACTTTCTGACAACCAATGTCCACCTAAACTAGGCATTTTTATTCTCAAATGCCTACATCAATTCACTTACCTGCTTAACTAGTGAGAATTCACTGATGAAAAGACTTCACAGAGAAGCATCAGAGATAACCTGGGGAGCCACTGGCACAGGCTGCCCAGAGAGGTTGTGGATGCCCCCTCTCGGGAAGCATTGAAGCCCTGTCTGCAAGGGGCTGTGAGCAGCCTGGTCCAGTGGGAGGCGTCTGTGCCTACAGGAGGGGGTTGGAAACCAGATGATCTTAAAGGTCTTTTCCAACCCAAATCATTCTATGATTCTATGACGAGCTGGTAACACGGCCAACCTACTTGCCTCTGAGTAAATAAGTAATAATAATTACATGTTTCAATTTGGCTCTGGCTCTTCTCACTCTGACCATAAGAAATACATGCATGTAAGCATGTGGCCATAATACAAAGGAAAGCAGAAGGAGCTTAAGACAATACAAACCAATTATTATGATGTATAAATACTCAGATACTGTTTAAAACACAAATACTATCTAACCAGATACATTATTTACATTACTTCCTTACTAGGACCCAAAGAAAAATAACCTCTTGTCTTTGACAGAATCTTGAAAATCCTCAACTGTCCAAGCCATAACATCACACTTCTAGTCTTTCAAAATCAGTTTCAACATTCTCTCTTTTCTACAATTTGATTTTTAAATACCAGGCATTTGTCCCCTGCATCTGGCCTTAAATTTCCTGCCAACTTCAATGAAAACTCCACTGGATATATCTAGCAGTGTCTAAGGAAAGTGGATGACTAACTTCTGATTTATAGCATCTGTGCACCAAAAAAGACTGTCTTATAAAATGAGGATTAAAAAAGAAGTCACTGAAATGCTACAATTATTCCAGGTAACATATATGTGGAATGAAATACATATGGGAATGAAATACATATTTTTATATTTTATATATATATATATATTTATATACATATATATCATACATATATGATAATATATATATTATCATACATGCATATGTGTGTGTGTGTGTGTATGATAAAGAAGTACCACCAACCCAAGCAAAAAAAAAAAAGGGAAATTATTTATTCAATATTTTTCCTTCTGATTTTTATGGGTGGGAACTATCAGACTGTAACAGTATTCACATTCGTGATATTCAAGACGTTAAAGCCCTGTATTGAGAAGCATTTGGTTTTCCTTGAAAGCACCCAAGAAAAGCTATCAACAAGCCTTTAATTTGTGTGAAGTAAGAGACATGAGAAAACTGCATGCCAACACTAATGTAGGTATTCCAGTTTCCTTCTACATCACACAAACCAGCCAAACTTGATATACATTCAGTTTGTTGGATTTCTTCACCTTCAATTTTCCTTGTTTTGAGGAAAGCTGCCTCCAGTAATCTACTTGAAAGCAATCAGGGAAAACTGACAGCGATATAGGACAGAAAATGGATGCTCGGTATGAATGAGATTCTCTTCTAAAAGGACTTATGAAAACAAAACAAAACAGCTGAGCAACACATAACATCCATTCAAAGGGCAAAGCATCAGAAAAGATTGAAGGGTTTCACTCAGGAGTAGTGAAAGTGATTTGGAACACTTCAGACTAATTAAAATTTACTCTTCGGTGTCAGCAAGAAAGGTTTCTCAGTATCTGTGTCAACTTTTGGTGCGACAGTAGCAGCTGGTATATCACTGAGCACACTGCTAGGAGGACACTTCATTAGTATTTCTTTACTTACAAACACATGCTGATCCAAATTTCATTTGCTTAGAGCAGGGGTCTCCAAAACAAAACGATGAGAACCTTGCACTGTATCTTCTAGGGCTTTCCACAGATTCCTGAATTCTTTCTAACCAATTAGACCCATGCATTTTCATCTCCAAGCTGACAGCTAGAATGCAATAACTTATCAGACAGAAAGGCACAGGATCAAAAAATCAGATTTCATTTTCCATCTTTCTAAGTGTCTGATTACGCTTTTTCAGTCAAATTAGAAAACCTGAGATGCACTTGACTCATCCACTAAGCACAAACATCACCCAATTATGCCTTTACATTGCACTTTGCAGTCCTAGGATTTCAAGTTTTATGCTTAACTTGCTTTCTCGCTCTTTTCTAGGTTGTTTGTTGGTTTTTTTGAGTGATTTCTTGAGAACTGTTCTTGAAAATGAATGGTTTCTGATCACAAATTCATTTCAGTATCAATCTGTCAAAGGCAAACCTGGTGATACTCCCTTAAAGAAATAATTTAAATAAACTCTTAGACTTCATTAAATTGTTGAAGTGATAAAGAGTAGAAGAAAATTAACTTCCTATAACATTGTTCTCTTTTTAATACTTACACCTGAGTAACTATACACGGGAAAACTGGAATCTATCAACTCTGAAACCTCTGATTTCATCAAGAAAATACTTTTCCAGTGCCTATAAAAGAAAATGAGCCCTTCAGAACATCCAATTTCTGGGTAAAAGTCATTTGTTCATACTGAAATGAGTAAATGTCTCCTCTGAGCTGTCAAACCAGACAATTCCTGAGAATCAAAAATTAAAAAAGTGAAGAAGAAAAAAAAAGATGATTATCAGAGGCAGCCCAGAGTTCTAAAAGGAGGACAAGAATATATATATGTGCATCAAAAACCTAAAAGACTGAATCAAGCTAGTTTCGATCAAATGCTGATGAGCCCAAAAATGCAAGAGGATTCACAAAGAAGACGGCGTACTTACTGCTTGAGGCAGACAGTTCTTTAGGGCTGGAGGACATTGGCTGAGCACACAGCTGACAGAGACAGTCCCTTCCATTAAAGGTAACTCGATCACCTGGTGGAAATGGACGCCTGGGTTAAAGAGAAAAATATATTTTAGCAGAGATTATGCCAGAATTTTTGTTCTGGTCCCTATGCTGCGAGCTTGCTGCCTTCTCCCTCTGCAAATAACATGTTACAGTAACTCAGGCCAAACAGTTTCTGCAATATGGCCTTGGCAAAGTCAGGCACTGGAAAAAATCCAATCCACACATGCAAGAAGAGCAGAGGTCAGACTTAACTTACTGAAACCACAATACAAGACATTAAACACATTTTATCTAAGGAGAAGATGACAGAGAAATCTGCTTAGACACAACAGCTACGTTTACAGCAGTCTCAGCATGATGCTGTTGACAGCAAACAGTACAGCAGGGTATTCAGACGAAGCACTTGTCTTAGGACAGGGAACTCAAAAATAGATTAGCTTAATCTGTGCTCAGCAATGAAATACATATTGCTGTGGATGTAATGTTTCACAAAAAATGAAGTGCTAGCTGCTTTCATTATCCTAGAGTTTTAAAATACTTATCTGTGTTATAGAAACACCCCCAACTGTTGCTTGTGCAGATGGTGTTAGGAGAAAGGTAAAGGCTGAATGGACTACAGAAGTTTGAGATTATCTGATGAACTCACGAGAGTTAAAAGTTTGTGCTGGGCAAAGTTGACATTGCTGCTCTTGCTTGGTGTATAAATGCACGAGCATTTCACTAAAATGAGAAGCTTCAGCAACTCCAAATACTTAATGAGGAGCTCTACCCTTCCAAATACAGACTGCCCTACACTACACATCATTTCAACACTATGCTTAACAAATGAACATCCGTATATCTCTACAAAATGAAACACATATGGCATTGTTCTAGTTTCCTTGTTTGTATTCCCTGCAGAACTAAAAACTGCTTTACTTCTGGGGGACAGGACACAGTGCTTAGAAAGAACTGGGGGAAACAGAGCTGTCCCAAAGACAAGTGTTACTACGTGTTGTGCACATGAGCCCTCAGGTGTTTTCAACTGTTCAACTGAATTTATAGTCCCAATAACTTCTCCACTGTACTATCCAGGAGTTTGCTCTATCTCTTTTTTCATTTCCATCACCACAGCACCACTCATCACCACAGCTAAACCCATACCTGTAGGGGCATGTAAGTCTAGTATTCTTTCACATGTGAGAATAAGCTTCTGAGAACAGGGAGCTACGTGTAACAGAGAAGCTATCTCCTGCAGATAAATGAGTGGTATTTTGAAGACACTCAGACTTGCAGCACTTCCAAACAAATGTTTCCTACAAAGATCTTGCGACTTCTGTCTCACGGCGATGCTTTTCTCCCTGATGTTGTACTGGGTTCAGGTCACACAGGCTGAAAGAGATGACTTACTTGCAAACTGTACAGGCAAAGCAGTTTGGATGGTAAGTTTTTCCCAGAGCTGTCACTACTTCTCCTTCAACAAACTCCCCACACCCGTTGCAGCGGGTACCATACATGCGCTGGTAATCCAAGGTGCAAAGGTATTCCCCATTCTTAATGAAAAAGCCTCCTTGTGCCAAGTCACAGCCACACACTGGAAGAAAAAAAAAACAACACATTGGAAAAATATACCTACAAAAGATGTCAGAAACAGTCTGTGCTGCCAGCAGATGAGATTACCCTGGTGGTCTTGCTTCTTTATATTGGATTCTTGCCTTCACCTTCATGACATGCTTTGACAACACAGGAGATGACTGGCATTCTCTGGCTACAAAGCACCTTGTAATCAAAAATTTATTTGGAGAAACCTACACAGTCACAACTTTCATGCATTCAGGCCTCACCAAGACCTCAGTTGTCTTGTATCATCCTGTTAATCATGTCAGCAGAGCTGTATGGAAAAATGGAACTTGGGATTTGATTTCATGCTATTAAATACAAGATACGATACAGTACAAGACAGTAGCTCTCAACTACCTGGTTTTATATTTTCCAGTCACTAAGAACTAGTTCCGTTGAACTTCCTTTAAAATGTGGAGTTACAAGGGACAGACAGAACGTTAAAAGAAAAGAAATCTCACAACAAAAACTTGAGGTTCATCCTCCTACTAATTGCCTATAACACTGTTTACCTTCCTGATCTATTTCTAACATTATCACTTCAGGTGGAAAGATCCTTCTCTGAGCTGGTGAGCCTTAGGACTTCAGCATGAAGACCCACCAGACCTAAAACAACTGCCACTGACCCACTGCAGAAAGAAACATCCTCAAATCAACCCTACTGAATTACAGGGTATGCATGTATTGTAACTCAGGAAAGACACTGGAGGCAGCTGAAATACAATTACGTCATGTCAAGTTATTGGTAGATGCAGATACATTCTTAGGGAAGGGAAACAAGGCCTGCCTTCAGAAATATGTTCTGCATGGCATTTACACCTGGTCATCACCAATCCAGAGCTGTACTAGGAACAGGATGCTCTGCAGAATTTTTGTTTTTGCAGACCTTTATAATGCAGAGCTTGAGAACAGAAGACAGCACAAAATTCTATGGCCAGATAGAAGAGATGGTCAGCTTAGCACAAACCTTACACCATGATATGGAACTGCAGCTCCTATCCATGCTCTCTCCAGCATTCCTGAACACATTTTCAATATGCACAGAGCCCTCTCATTTCGGCACATCTTTTACACACCACTGGACCTTGTGAGAGTTTCCCTTCAACAACTTGAAGCACTTGCAGGAATGCTTCCAGCAGGGGAAGAGGTTAAGCCCCCGAGAATGACATCAACCAAACCACTTCCCATGAAAGGTCTGCACTGCATCAACATCTCCATGCAGTTTTACTGTGGCAGAAATGAGCTGCAGCTGAATTTGTGTTCAGGGTCTTTGTTCAGGGTCAGCACACTGCTCAGTTACTCCACCTAAATCTCTGCACGGTGCCACAGTGCAAACTGTGAATGACCCTATTTGTTTGGAGCTAGCTTGGAGAGCTCTTTATCATACCATGCAGACAGCCCCTCTAACTCATAGGTACCATTAATGTTGGTAGATACAAACTCCACAGTTTATCACAATGTTTGAGAGAAAACACTGTAGTAATAACAATTCCAACAGCAACAATATAAAAGACCATAACTACACAGGTTGTGTTTGCTTAGCTGCACAGTTTACAGTGTTGTAGAAAAGAACATAAATTACATGGTCATTAAAAAAAAAAAGTCACTTTGAGAGAAAAATTCCACGTAGTACCCGAGCTAATGGGAAATTCTCCCAGAGGCATTCACTGATTTGAGGCCACCAAAGCAAACCCACGTAATTCTTTCTTATAAGGGCTCCTGGAAGAGTATCAGGAAGGAGGTAAGGACACACAACCTACTTTTATGCATGTTTTGTATCAGAATCAGGCATCCCTTTTCAGCCCAAATCACAAACAAGGTGATCCTACCTGCTCTCTGTTCTGGTCTGCAATACTGCAGCATGGTCATCAGAGCAGAACCAAACTTTCCACCTACTTTCCTGGCTCAAATACTTTATTTGTTATCAATCTGAAGTGCTAAAGCTTGTGTCAGATTACATTGTCAAGCAGGAGAACAAGATAGGGAGCATTACAAAGCGTTTCTTCCCCTATCGCATGTTCATATTGCTGTGAATTTATGCTAACAGACTTAAACTGGAAAAACAAGGGATTTACAGGTAAGACAACCAGTGCAGGGCAAACTTAGAAACTTTCAGCCTTGGAAGCTGCCCACAGGTCCTTAACAGAGGAGTATAATGGCTCTGATCTCAAGAGGCAAAATACAGCAGCTCACCTCAAAGAACTTACAAAATAAATGTGCCAACAGCACAGCGGGTTCTGCCCCATTCCCACGCACTTGCTCAAGGAAAATGTAGTTTGTGTGGCACAGCCTTGCTTTCACTTCAGGGCCTGGTGAGAGCGGAAGATATGTTTTCTTAAATAAAAGAGATTTTACTCTTCTATACACTACCACACATTTCTCCCCGCAAGCAAGTGCTTTATTTTAATAAGCTTTCATGTGGCTGCTTCTTTTTGAAACAATGAATATTTTAGAGACGTTGTGTGGTTTAGATTAACTCCTCCATTCCCCAGGTAACTCTTAGCTGCTCCACCATCAGTGCTTCAGAAAGTGTATCTGAAATGTTCAGGGTAATTTCTCAGTGTTTATTTACACCTAAGTACTGAGAGAAGGCTGAAGTAAAGAGAAAAAAAGAGATTAAAAATTTTGCCACATCTCTCTACTATGTATAATTTATGATGCAAGCAGCCAAATCATATGAGAATATACTGGATCTTTAATACACCAAATGTGAATAAAGAGTATTAACCACGTGTATTTTAGACAAATTAATTTCCCAAGAACTACTGTTACCTTTAAGTGTCTAATCAACACTGCTCATGTTGGTCATTTACACACTACATTTTCTGGTACTTCATGGATTAGATAAATAACTCTACATTTGAGTATAGAACAGGGGCCATGTAAAGTGCTAGCCAAGTATTGCTCTACTGGTAAAAATAATTGTACTGGTTATAGGATGAAGGACTGTCAAGGATCAATTTGACTTGGAGTCAAGAGTCAATTTGAGTATTAAATTATTCAGCAGTGTCAACAAGATGCCTGTTTTGCTCTAAAAAGATATCCATAGTACTACACTGGCACTTCTGGCCAGCATGAGAGACAGAAAGCAATCCTTTCCAGAACAGCCAACTCCTATGAAGAGAAAGTGACATGGGAGATGAAAGACTGAATTTCACAATTCTGCTTTAACGTGAGAGTCAAGGACTTAACTTGAAACCAACATCCTGCGGTAGCATCAAAAACACTGGGCTGCTTGTTTCATGTGGGATTTTAAAAGTCTTCTTTATGCATTTCTATGAAAAAGCATAAATATAAATCGCTAGCTGGCTTCTTAAAAAACCTACATACAGCAGCTCCCAGTATTTTTCCCAGTGGTTTCAGCCACTCCTATCACTTCTTTGTGTATTGCTTTGTCTGTGGAATCGAGTAACAGAAACTGCTGTTCACAATGGTCTAGAACATCAACTTATGCCTTACACTGCAAGTGGTTCCATAATAACCCTCTTCATAACACTTGAGAACACTCAGATCAAATATCATAAATTCTGATTATTAAGGGATAAGTAAATAAGCAGCAGTTACTGAGAGTTCTTGAAAAATGTAAATATGAAACTCAGAAAGAGGATCAGGGAAACAAGTTCCAATGCATCTCCTGCCACAAATACCAAGTATGTCACGTACAACATTCATTCTCTCCCTTGTTATAATGGGCTAATATCACATTAGCTAACTGCCTTGAAAATTAAAATTGCAAGATGTTCGGGGCAGGGATTGTAAGCTCTCTTCTCTTGTGAACGGAATGCACTGGAACACACTTCTGATGCACACTATACAGAGAACACAGACCTACAAAGTTTTTCTCTCTTGAACTGTAGCAGAGCAACTATTTTGCACAGGATTGGAAATGTTGTCAGTGCTGCTGAGTGCTGCACATGCAAGACCAGGCATTTAAGACAAAGTATAGCTGCTTAAGAGCAATATAATTGCCTGTGATCCTCAATGACCAGCATCATCCTTGAGTTGAGTCATTTCCAAGAGTTAACAGGGATGATGAAAATGGGGACATTAGAATTTTTCAAAACAAACAGAAGTAGGATTTGATCTTACTGAGTATTATGTAGGATTTCCATGGGGTTATTATCAGAGACAGTTGAAAAATGGGCCCTTTGCACAATAATTTCATGTTGACGTTAAGCAAAAATTGTTTAATAACTGAAGAAACAAAACCACACAGGAGACTGCGTGAGCACAGGCACTCAATCTGCGGAAATGAATGTGATTCATTAGAAAAAGTCTAATGATCTGCTTTGCCATCATGCATTAAATAAGGTGTAAATTCAATTTCCTGTAGGGGTTTTTTCTTTCTCCTATTTCTTGGCTTCACAGAATAACGAGGCTGTATTTATGCAAGTAAATATTCACATATTCTTTAATTCTTATGAAGTAATGAGTTGTTTGAAGATGGGAACTTGGCAATGTATCAGTTTGTCATTTACATCCAAACAAATACACAGGAAAGTCTGTTTCAGAGTTTTCTGGTATTTACTTTCGGTAGCGGCTTTTGCTTGGTTTGTGTTTGTTTTTTTTTTTATTGTTGTTGTTGTTTTTTTCCTATTTTTGTTAGTTTTCTTTGTTTTTTGTCTAAGAGCTTAATAAATCCTGTATTGATGAAAGCAAGGCTCACGTTCATTAAAGTCCTAAGCAAAAGATGAAATACATTTATCCCTCCTCCCCTATTTGGTGTAGGACCAAATGAGCATCCCATAGCTTCCAGCCAGGCCTTGCTCCTGTTCCCTTCAAAAATCTTGACCCTAGGCTCTGAACAACCAGCCTGCACAACTACTTAGTGCCACACTGCGATGTGAATATCTCTCACTGGGATATCTGAGTAAAACATCCAAGCACTTCATGTAAGTATTCACTCAACAGGAGCCACTAGCCATACCCATGTTTCAGATAAAGTCAGAGTTCTAATTTAACCAACCTCCTATT